ATATTCTTATATTTTGGTTTATTATTTTTATTATCATTTTCTTTTCCTCATGTCCAGTAAACAGCTTAACCCCAAATTTCCATACCAAAGGATACATAAGTAAATTTACATAGAAATAATTGATTGTGCATGTGAATAATTTCTAAAGCAATAGTAAACCAGCGTTTGATTTTACAGCACGCATAATGATTAATTCCCTACTTTCAGCGAGGAAAATGTGTGGCGACTTTGTGAATATGTGCGGTGTCACGAGCCATCAGATCTGGTCAAGTGCCATGTCGTCTTCATCAGCAACGAGTCACGGTGTGTGCCGTTGTGGAGACAGCGAATGGGCAAGTCGGAGGACAAGCTGGTCACTTGGGTATGTTCCCTATGGCATTGTCCTTTAATCTATTCATTATTTTTATTGTTATTTTTATTATTATTATTGATATTAATATTGTATATCATTGTTATATTATTATTATTATTATTATTATTATTTATTATTATTATTATTATTATTATTATTATTATTATTTATTATATTATTACTATTATTGTTATTATTGTTATTGTTGTTATTATTATAGACTTTGGTAGAAAAAAAAGCATATAGACTGAAAGCTATTCCATATGATTTTAAGTTATTGTTGTAAAGACATATTGGAAAAACTGTAAAATAAATAAAAAAAGTGTAATCAAACTGGTTTCAATATCTGTTTAGTCAGCAGCATCTGTGGTTTGCTTTTGTTTGTGCGTAGAGTTTCATATGATTTATTTGATCTGAAATCACTGAAAGAGTTTGACCTGGGTGAGGGGGATGCTGAGTTTACCATTTATATTCATTCTTATTTTTGTGCCAGTGATATGGTATTGCATCAGTATCAGTATCTTTATGAACTCAAGTGTGGTCAGTTACACATATTGATAATCTTGAGATACACTTAAGTTTTGCTTTTTTCATTCTCTCTCTCTCTCTCTCTCTCTCTCTCTCTCTCTCTCTCTCTCTCTCTCTCTCTCTCTCTCTCTCTCTCTCTCTCTCTCTCTCTCTCTCTCTCTCTCTCTCTCTCTCTCTCTCTCTCTCTCTCTCTCTCTCTCTCTCTCTCTCTCTCTCTCTCTCTCTCTCTCTTTCTCTCACTCCCCCCATCCTCCTTATTCTATTCATTTATCCAAATTTATTTATCCAAAGTGTTAAAGTGTTCCCTGATACAATTCTTAGAGACTCGCCAACTGCTGGCTGAACAAATATATTTGTGTTTGTGTGGTGCCCCTGTGTATAAACTTTATACCAGTTCTTTGTTGTAGCTTCAGCAAGTAGACTGACCTGTTCCAGTAACATGTTCATTTGTTCTCAATGGAAAGAGTCATTTGCAGGGCAGTAAAGAATTAATTTTTTAATGTAATAAACAGATCACAATATGTAGAATGATTTGTATCATGTTTTTTTCCCGAAGTTGTCATACTTCAGATTTTAGAATATTACATATCATTGGACTAGTGTAGACATGCACCCAGGAATACACATTTACTTGTTCGTATGTGTGTGTGTGTGTGTGTGTGTGTGTGTGTGTGTGTGTGGTGTGTGTGTGTGTGTGTGTGTGTGTGTGTGTGTGTGTGTGTGTGTGTGTGTGTGTGTGTGTGTGTGTTGTGTGTTTGTTTGTCTGTGCAAGTGCATGCATGCCATATGCACACCTTCACATATTTTTTTTCTAGGAAAATTTCATGCTTTAGTCTGGTTGTAGGCACAGGCTTTTACAAAAATGTCTATCCCCAGGTAATTCCTTGACGTGAAATCAATCATGGAAATTATGGCAATGCATAGGTGTAAAATCACCCTTCAAGTCATGAGTAAACAAGTTAAAAAAGAAAAAAATCTTACCCCCCAAGGAATTGCATTAATTTGTTCTTATGAAATGATATTAAGTCCTGTTGATTCACACTGTATTGATTTTATTATTATTATGTTCAGGCTTTCTGGTGGAGTACAAGAGTGCAAAGAATTTATTTGAAATGAAGAACTGCATAGATGCACATATCCAGTATTTATGCATATTATCCAAGATAGAATATATGTTGGCATCTTCTCATTACATATACAAATAATTGTTAAGTTATTGTCATTACATGCACCACTCTTATTAACTCTAGACAAAAGATTCTGCTATGCTGTGTTAAAAAATCATTGAATTAACAACTGTACATTGTACATAATTGTCTGTGTGACAATTTTGATTAAATTCCAAGGTGTCACTAGCCTTGTTTTTAATGCATTGAAAAAAATAATGTATTCATGTAGGTACAGTGTTTAAACAAAATTTAATAGAAGCACAATTTAGAACAGCACCTCAGCATTCTGATGTAATATTGTGAAACACCTGAATTATAGAAGGGGAAAAAATGGTGTAAGAGGGAGTGTGATTATCAGGGAGTATAGATTAATGTGTGTGTGTGTTATGTGGTATGTATGTATGTATGTGTGTGTGTGTGTGTGTGTGTGTGTGTGTGTGTGTGTGTGTGT